CTCCTCGCTCCCCCTCTCCTGCCTCGCCTCCCGCCTCCCCGGTTCCGAGGGCCCCCCCAGAAGGCCCCCTCCCTCCCGTGGCAGCAGTGTGACCAGGGGTCGGGCCCCAGACGCGCTGGAGAACTCCCCGCCACCGCCGGCCGCAAGCACGGTCGCCCCGGGGCCTGCGCAGAGTTCACCGCGGCTCGCGCCGCCCTGGGCACAGGCGCCCGCGGCCACCCTCGCGGTCCAGATTTAAGGTGGTCGCGAGCAGACTGGAGAGAGCGAGGTCTCGAGAAGGACTCGCCCCCACCCGCTCCCTCTCCTCCCCCTTCCGTCAGCCCCAGCCGGCTCCCCCGCTGCCCGCGTCCTCTCTCGGCTCCGCGGCGAGGCCGGGCTCGGGCTGGGAACCGAGGGCCCGGCGGTGGCGCCTCTGCGCGCCACCCCCACCCTGGCCGCTCAGTCGGCGGCGGTACGCTCCTAGCCCTAAAGGTAGGACTCGAATATTTTAATAGGGCAATAAAAAGGATGTTGACCCATATTTGCCAGGAAATCCATATCTAGCTTCAGTTACACGCGCACGGAGTTTCAGACCGTCCACGGCGGGCGGAGGCGCGGCCAGAAGTCTCCGGCGGAGGCGGGGGAGAGGAGCGCGCCCTTCCCCTCGCATCCCCTTTCCAGCCCCCCCCGCTGGCTTTTAGTCTCTCCCGGTGCCTCTGCCAGCAGGTTGAAAACTGGAGTGAAGCGATGCCAGTAAGTTCTAAGTCCCTCCCCTCAAGTACCGCGGCCCGGGAGAATGAAAGCGCATCCTTAAAGAAATATCGATGCGTTCACACTCTGATGGGCGCAACTGCCACCGCGGGCTCGCAGTGGAGCTATGTGACACGCCAGGGACTAGCCGGGCGGCCTCGGGAGCCCCCGCCTTTTGTCAGAACCAGAACGCGTCCTGGCTTTTCCGATCGAGGGCCTTTGGTGGGGTCAGCCGGGTGCGGGTCATTGTGGGAGAGAAAAGCACAGGAGAGAAGGGAGAGGCGGGGGCTCCGAGGTCTGAGGCTGGAGGCAGCATCTGCACAGCGATCTGGAAGCCGCTGTATGTTTTTGCTCTCTGTTCATGGGGGGGGGGGGGCGCGGTGTCCAGCCCCCTCCCTCCATCTCCACTCCAAACTCGGAAGGGGTAGACGCCCCCAAAGTGAAGGTCTCCCCGATTTACGAGCCAGGGCTGAAGCAGGATGGGAAGGCCACCACGGCAAGACGCATCAAATCAGGGCCATCGGTGGACCGCGGCGCCTACCGGCCTCCCCCGCCCCCACCCTAAACTTCTCCAGCTGGACCCTTCACCTCCATTCCGCTCCAGGAAGAGGAAGGGATGGCAGGTAGGCAGGTGGGTGGGGAGGGAGAGAGCGAAATCGCCTTTCTACCTGCCTGCAGAGCAAACACACCAAGTCTGGAACTGCTCGGTTACGCCGAAGCCCCCGGAACGCGCCGCGCTCCGCGCCGGGCTCCGGGTTTCTACCTGAGTCATCAGCCTGTCCGCGCCGGTGTTCTCCTCATCCTTGAATATGATGTCGGGGTTGTAATTGGGGGTGAGCTCCTTGACCCGCTCCGAGTTTCTCGAGATCTTCCCTTCGTATCTTCCGCTGGCCCCGAGCGTCTTCTCCGCCACGTTGGGGATAAACTGCTTGTAGGCTAAAGGGGTCAGCTTTTTGGGGTGCCGCCTCTTCCCGAATCCCCTGCCGGGTCCACACGCCAGCCCCGAGCACAGCAGCAGCGAGGAGACGAACGCCAGCAGCAGACATCGCGCCAGCAGCAGCATCTCGTCCGGGGAACCCGGGCACTTCAAAGCCGGCCCCGTGCGGGTCTGTGTGCGCGGAGTGTGCGCGAGTGTGTGTGTGTGTGTGTGTGCGTGTGTGTGTGTGTGCGCGCGCCTGTGCGCTCTCCCTCGCTCGGCTTGCTGCTGGCTCCCTCGCCCGCTCTGCCTCTCTCTTTCTCTTCCTATAGAACCCTGCCCGCCGCTGCTGCGGGGGGCTCTCGGCGGATCCCCACCCAGACGGGGGCTGGAGCGGCAGGCTGCTGGTCGCTGATAACGGAGCACATCGGAGTTGGGGCGGGAGACAGCAATCAAAAGACAAAAAGAGTCTGATTTTAAATGGTAGCAAGCCTGGAGAGCTTGTGAGAGAGGCTGTCTCCAGTACTATATTATAGCTGGCAGGGGCGCATCTGATTGGCCAAAGCAGCACAAGCTTGTCTTCTGATGGTTAACCCTAAAAAAGACTAGAATTTTTTTTTCCCCTGTCGCCGCTGTTGCTTTATTTTTACCTGAAGGCTTCGAGTTGGAAAAGGAAACCTTCGCCGAGACAAAGGTGGGCGTGAGGGAGGCGGCCGGCTTCCGAGGATGACATCAGTCACCCCTGCGCTGCGTGCATCACGGGTCCCCCTTCACTTTCTCCAGAATGGTAGGTGCTTCAGTTAAAACCAAGCGAAGTTTTAGAGGACAGTCTGGATCGCCCCCCTCCCAGCTTCGATTACCAAACAAGTATTCTCTTCGGCGTGCGAGGGGCAGAGCTGCCCAGGTCTCATTTAAATGTTTTTTTTTCTTTTCTTTCCTTTTTTTTCCCCAGAGACTTTATCACGCAGGCCGGGGCTCCCCGCATTTTAAAGACAGAGGGTCTGTGCGTCCCCCCTGAATATTCGACATCCTTGGACAGAGGGCAATTTCGACTGACCGCACGTAAAGCATTACTATTCGAAGTGCTCTAAGTGCCTTAGAAAAACTTGAAAATACTGCTCCTTTATTGCGTTTCAATCAATGCATTATTTTTAACCCTCTGAACGGGGATGGAGGAGAGCTCAGGGCGGGCACAGAGTGAGGCCGGCCTGCTGCCGGCTGGGCCCAGCGGGGTCTGGGCGCGGCACCCCAGCCTGGAGAACGGGCCGGTGCTGGTGGGCGGAGGCCCGTGGTGCCTGGGGGCCGTGGGGAGTGGGCAAGGCTGTGCACACACCACCCCCACAGTCTATCGATCTGAGCAAAGTGCAGGCCGGGGACGAGCTGGATGTGGGATTCAGGCTCCTTGCACACCGTGCGGAGCTGGCTTTTCGTGGAGCCCTGCAGGCCAGCCCTCAGGGTCGTGGGGGCTGCGGGCTGAGACGGGGCAGGACTCTGGGGGACTACACTCTGGTCAATGGGGGGGGGGTTCAGAAGAGGGCCCAGTGCTCAGGGCCGGCCATGCTGGAGTCCCCAGTCCCTGTGCTTCTTTCAGAAAAAATAAAGTCCTATTTAAACCGGAAAAATCACACCAGACCAGGCCGTCCTCCCCTCCGCGCCCCCATCTCACGCACGTGCAAGGATCCCTCAAGAACAAGGCAGGGGAGCCGGGGAGCCCAGAGTCAGGCCCTGGACCGGCACTCCGGGAAGCCCAGCCTCCTCCCTGCACCCCGGTCGGTCGGGTGGGGCGGGAGAGGCCGGGTCTGAAGCCTCGGCCTCCAAAACAATGGGACCTTTCCAGCCGTCCAGGCAGGCCCCTTGCAGATGACCTCTTTGGTGGGGGGTGGTAGAGGGGGCATCTTGGGAGCCATCTGGCTGGGCCTTGCAGGGCCTGACCACTATGAAGGCCCGGCCAGCCTCGGGCCCCCCAGGTGGACCAGAGCCCCCCACCCCCACCTTTTTTGCTCTTTCTGTCCTGGGATTGGTGAAGAATCTACGTGTTGGCAGAGATGCCCATGCCTAGGCGAGGTGGGGGAGCAGCACCCCACTTTTTCACAGCCTGCCGGGTGAAAGGGGTCTGTCTCCCTGTCCCAGCCATGGCCTCGGTGTGTCCATGTGCTCCCAGGGGAAACAGGAAAAAGGGGCACCGTCCTGGACCCGGAGGGTGGGTGGGCTCGAGGCGGTCACTGTGCAGCACAGAGTCCCCACATGTGACACCGCTGGGCCCGGGGGCTCCAGCCCTTTGCTCGCCCTCCCCTGCCCTGCACCCCCTCGCCCCACGCCCTCCCTTTCCCCCTCGTTTTTGCTGTCCGCCCTCCCTTACACACCCAGGCGCAGCAGGGGCCTGCACGCAGCACCCAGTCGTGTGGTCCCCTCCCATGCGGAGACCTCAGGCCTGCCACACGTGGGCCGCCGCCTGCGCTCTGGAGGCCAGAGCTGGACTTGGGGTGCCAGGTGCGTGTCAGCTGCCTCTTGGCCTGGAGCAGGAAAGGGGTTGGGGGGGGATCCCCAAGCTCAGCAGGCCTTGCACCACGGTGGGGCCAAGGCCACCTCCCCCTTCATCTCGAAGCCAGCCCTGGACACCTTGGGGCCTGTCAGGGACCACGGGATGGGTGATCCCCGAGAATGAAGTAATGGCGGACCAGCAAGCCGGCCGCTGGCCCTGGTTCCCGGCCACCCTCCCTGTCCTGGGCGGAGGCGCGGATCTGGACAAAGCTCGCTCACAGTTTGTATTTATTGCTTGGAAACCAGGGCACTGGCGAGTCACCGGGAGAGGCTGAGACCCCCCCACTTCCCTTTCCTTTCATCCTGCCCCCTCCCCACTCCCCAGACACCAGACACCCTGTCTTCCACCTCCAGACACCAGATGGCTCCCTCTCTTTGCCTTTCCCCCTCCGGACAACTCTGGCCTCCCCTGGCAGGTCAGAGGTCCAACCCCACCTCCGCATGACCCTGCCAGACACCCCGGGGAACCCCAAGGTCCACCTCTGATCCGTCTGGGTTGCGCCCCGCTCCCCGCGGTCATCTGCATCCCTCTATCCATGCCTCCATCCTTCCCGTCCTCCATCCCACCCCAGCATCCCTACTGAGGACAGGTGGCTGCCTGTCATCTCCCCCCACCCGCCGGGAGGCA